CTCAGGATGTTGGTGTCGGCCAGTCCATTAAGGATGGCCTCTTTAATAAACTTGTCTAAGACCTTCACCGGGACAGAAGTCAGGCTGATGTGCTGTAGTTAGCCAGATCCACTTTCTTCCCTTTCTTGAAGATAGGCACCATGTTGGCCTTCTTCCAGTCTTCGGGCACTACACCAGAGCACCAGGAGTTCTCAAGGATCTGTGCCAGGGGCTGGGCTATAATGCTCACCAGCTCCTTGAGCACTCTGGGGTGTAGACTGTAAGGACCCGCTGACTTGAAAGTATCCAGCCTCCCAAGGTGTTCCTTCACAAGGTCAGCATTGATGGAGGGCAGGGAATCTCCCTCACCCAGACCTCCCTGTCCCATAGTGGGCATGGGCGTCCCATGGGACTGATGAAAGACTGACGCAAATACCCATTTAATAGGTTGGCTTTTTCCTGGGCATCTTGTCAGTTGTCCCATCTGGTTTAGCAGGGGTTCAATGTTGCCCTTGCTTTTCCTCCGGCTCCCCACATATCTGAAAAACGACTTTTTATTGTCCTTTATACTCAAAGCTAGTTGGAGTTCAGTTGCAGCCTTGGCTTTCCTGGTTTGCTCCCTGCAGGACTGGACCAGACCAGTGAAGAATATTCCTCCTTGCAAGTGAATCCCATCCTCCATCCTTTGTAGGCCTTTCTTTTTAGCCTCAGGAGGTCTGCTAGGTCCCTGGAGAGTCAGGGGGGCTGCTGTGCCCTCCTGCTGCCTTTCCTCCGAGATGGAATACAATTAGCTTGTGCATTGAGGATTGCTCCCTTGAGGAGCAACCACTCTTCCTGAACTCCCCTCCCCCTGGGAGGGAGGAAGGGAGAGCGAGAGAGAGAGAGAGAGTTGTAAAGACTGGAGAACTATCTTCTGCGTTCTGCAAAAGCTGCTAATTTTGGTTTACACAATTTTACACAAACAAAACGGATGTGTTTGTGTATGTGGCCTCCAGTATATGACCTCATGTTCCATTTGGAGTTCTTGGCCCACATGATATGAAGCCTCTTTAAATCACACTATGCAACAAAACTCAGTGGGGTCATATGAAACCAGTGAGTTTTGCTGCTCTCATCCTCTTACAATATCGGTTTACCTAGAATGCCAGGTGACTGCTTGCCAGAATCCATGGCATCCAAGACCTTTACTCGTCCTCTCTAACTTCTTTATACCATAGTTACTAAAAGTTTAAAAAACAAAATAACAAAAAAATGGATAACACAAGGGGATGTATCAAAGACCAAACTTTAGGTGACCCATCTGGGTATGGAGTTAAAGCATA